ACTCTGAGAAGCACAGAGCCGGAGACAGAAGCCTGAAGATGATGAATGAGACTTCATCGAAACGTTGCCTAGATACTTCGAATCTTACGCGGGAGAAAACCCGAACAACCAAAGATCCACATACAAATACCCGCGAGAACCTCAGAAATATATATATATATATAAATTTTCTGCTTAATATATCTATATCCTGCCTAAGGCTGAGAGAGAGTAACTGGCCCAAATATTCAGATTTCCAGTCACACATCTACTTCCTCTACTGCCTAATATATCTATATCCTGCCTAAGGCTGAGAGAGAGTAACTGGCCCAAATATTCAGATTTCCAGTCACACATCTACTTCCTCTACTTTTTTTTACCATGTAGATATAATTTGCAATTATTCACTCCATTTTTCCATATTTCTGACTAAAACTCCGGTCTTCATTCTTGGCAGTTCATCTGTGTTCTGTTAATTGTTCCCCTTCTCAGAGTTCATTATCAAAGGCTTCTGCAGCTGACTGGGCTCTCGCTGCCTGTACTCAAATGGGAGGCAAAGCAGAAGGTTCTGGAGTTGTAGCAAAAGGCATGGTGAAGACTGATGATGTAAAGATGGTACTGGCGGCAGCACAGGAATATGCAAAGAATGTATTTTGATGCTTGGTTGTAAGGAATATCTGGATGTTCACTTGAATGACCGAATCCTAACGAGCTCAGTACATTATGGTGCTGCAACCCTTTGGATTCTTCTGGATTGTTGGACTGGTAGAATGTGCTGCTTTGGCTAGCCAATGTATATAAATAACTTCTTCCATGAAATACAATTTGCACATGATGTTAAGAAAGAACAGAGATCATCCTTTGACCAGTCACATAAGGACAAGGCAACTCAACCATACAGGTAAATATAGTCAGCCTTTCAGAATAGCCTCAAAGAAAGAAATAACTATATTTCTTTGACAATAAAAGATATAAGTTTGTTGGCTGCAGGATCATGTTTTTTATTCAGTGGAACAAAAAGTATGCTGTCTCATTAGAACCATTTTTTTCTGCAATGGAACAAATTATTTCCAGGAAAGTATGCTATCTAGTCTTTCTCTGGCTGGTTGTATAAATTTTGCAGATTAGTATTACTTGAAGGGAGCTTTTGCTTTTGACAGTGCTTCACACAAACAACGATTCTGGTGCAAACCACTCTCCAGGGTTTGCTAATCATGGATTAATTTTAAATGGGTCGCATTTACCATTTTTTTCAACTCAATTTTTTTATCCTATCCTTATCCTTTTTATATTGCTCCAAAATCATGATTTGCTAACCTTACAATAACTTTTTGAGGAGCAGAGGATGGAGAACTTGTGGTTTTCAGAAAAACACTTGTAGCAGATCAATTGATGAACAAAAATAGCAAATTTGAGCTCCCGCTTCATGAAGTCTCATAGCATGAGACCAGGGGTGAAATTCTACCAGTTCGCACCTATTTGCTAGAACTAGTTAACATTCTAAGCAGTTCGGAGAACCGGTTGTTAGAAGAAATTACTGGCCTAATCCTGTAAGGAAGGCAGCAAGGAAACATTCTGGTGTTGCTTACAGAAACTGCTTCTCCATTAACCCTTATTACATTATTGGCAGGACGAGACTTCCTGTCTCAGGAACGCCTCTTGAGTTTTTTTCCCCTTCCTTTGCTGGTACTTTGCTTGTGTGGAGTGACCATTCCAAGATACAATGGCACTGAAAAAAAGTGACTTATGACCATTTTTCACACTTATGACTATTGCAGCATCCCCAGTCATGAGAGGCCAGGTGAGGATATGCATGCCTTGATGTGAGTGATATGGAGTTGGCCACACCCAGCCAATAACATGACCACTAACCCATGTCTACTCAGTCACATGACCACCAAGCCACGCCCACACCTAAGACAAGCCCGCAGAACCAGTTGTTAAAAAATTTGAATCCCACCCCTGCATGAGACCCTTTTAAGCCTTAATTGCAGGACTACTCTTTTGCCATTTGATGGAAAATATCGGCTGAAACTTTCCCATAAACTCAGGGTCTAGCCATGAAATGTTTTTTTTTTTGTAAGAAAAGACTATTGCTGGAAATTCATAATAGGAATTAATGAATCTTTCCTGGAAAAAGCACAGCCTCTTATTTTCAGATTCCAATCTTCCTAAAAATGTTCCAGATGATATTTTGGCAATCAAGAGGATTTTGAGTGTTCTTAACTAAATGGTATATTCCTGTTAAATACACCACTATCAACAACAGAGAACAAAAATACATTTGTGTGTGTGTGTTCTTAATTACAATCAAGCACTGTCCCAATACATGGTTAACTAGCAAACATACAGAATGTTTTACAATGTAGAGTCTTGGGAACTCTGAAAGCACCTTTCTTCCTTGCTTTAATCAGCACTGGTACATTGGAAGTGAAGGAAACTCAAACCCATTAGTTTTGCTCATGCTTCTGAAAACAGCAGAGCTAATGTTCACTTCTTTGTTCGGATTCTGAGAAGAAAAAGAAAATAGTGTAATCTTCCACATCAGTGTCATCAATATGATACTACTAAAAAAAACAATTTTCATATAAAAGCTGTATCTGTCATGTCTACCGTATTATATCCTTATATATTGAATTTATTTGCTGCCCATCCTGTAATTAAATGGCTCATGTGCACCACTTTAGATGCACATTTATAAGCCAAAATGCTAGCTTAATCACATTCGCTATTTATGTTCCAGCTAAACAGCATGTCAGTGTTTTGCTGATTTCTCAGTTAAATCATGACCCAGAATTTCAAGAAATTACTATTAGTATTAGAAATCCTTTACATCATTTTTTAAAGTATATTATTTCACACTTTTTAAAGACTTTTATGAAATCTAATAATAACAACATTCCATAACCTAATGTCAGCCAGAAATTTATATAAGATGGGCAGCTATATAAATATTTTAAATACATAAACAAATCTGTTTTAAAGCTCCACCACCGATTCTAAATTATTTAATTCCACGTAGGAGCAAAGCGTACAATGCCACATACACACCTGTACTACAAGTCCTTCACTGACGGAGAAAGAGTATATAAAACCATCCTGCAACTTGCTTCCATTGCCGTCTTTGGGCTGCTGGAGTGGTGGCAGCCGAAGAGAGCAGGGCGATTCATTGAGCCTGGCCTGTCTCTTCTGCAGCAGCAGCTGATTTCTCAGCACTAGAGATAATAAAAATATCGGTTACAAAGATGTGGGTTTTTTTTAAACCTACGTGGAAAGCATTGTACCCATGTTGCACCAAGATTCATGGAAGGGACCTGAAATATACCATCAGAATGGAAATGGATGATGGAAATGCTAAAAGGAAGTGATCACGGATAAAAGTTGGAAAGTGCAATATAGCTTTATCCCATACAAGGGATGTGGAAACTAGATTTTTGCTCTTTGGCAGGTTATTGAGAAATGTAAATATAAGCAAATTAATGGGTATTTCTTGATTTAAAGAAAGTATGAGGAAAATTGAATTGGCCTGAATTATGCAATACTTTGCATGTTTATGTAGCTGGGTGCTACAACAGGACAGAGCAGCTTATGAAGGAAATAAAGCGTATGTGAGAATAAATGCCACTCCTAATGAATTGTTCAGCATTGCCTCCTTCATTGTTCAGTATATTTATGAATATGTAAGGAATACTTGTGGTGAAGATAGATATGTTGGTTGGGGATGTAAATATATGTGTATATGTGTATATGTGTTTACTTGCAGGTAAAGTTAAGTATCACACTGATTTGCAGTGAATGTTAGCTTCTACAATTCAAGAAGGACAATGGTTTTTAAAGTTAATGTGATGCTCTAGTTGTGGAAGGAAAATGGAGAGACAAATACTAAATTAAACATACTGTAGTATGGTTTATTCAGAAAGGGGACAGCACAATCCTATGTGTTTATGTTTTTTCTTAGATTTCCACATGACAACAGACCTACCTGGAACTCTTTGTGCACTGGCCACAGATCTCTTGAGCCAGTGTTTTTGAAAGGCAGCCCAATATGGCATTAGCATGCTGGAGACTGAATCCTTCAGGCTGTCAAATAAACTTGGAGGTGGAATCTCCTTCTGGAGGGCGTGCTCAGCTGCCCGGATAGCTCTGCCCAGCCTCTTATTATCCACAGCCACCTGCAGGGCAAGCCACAGACATTTAGCATTCTTCATGACAAGATTATTCCTGGAACTACAGCTCCTTTCCCTTTCCAGTCGCACAGTAAGACACAGACACAATTATTTGGAGGTCAACTGTATGGTCTATTATTTTCCTGCAATTTTGCCTCTGTTGGGATGGAATCTGGTTTCACTGCTAGAATTACAAAAGCAGCAGTAAATGATCAGCCAGGACATTCTCTAAATAAAAGAAGCTGAATTAAATTTAGCTGATGGGAGGTAGATGGTGGCATTTCTGGAATTGCTTCTTTGGTAATTCCAGGAATACTGATTGTAAGATTGTTAGGCTTCTCCGTGCACCTTGGTATATTTTCTCTGAAATTTTTGGTGCTATTGTTTTGACTCCTTGTCCCTTTTGGCTTTGTACAGACTCCTGGGCAATATCGGTGATACTAATTTCTTTCACAGATACTTATGTGATTATCAGTTCTTTGTAAAAAGTATATTACCTCCATTCCTTTAACTGCTCAGAGCAGCCTGCAAGCCAACAGTTAAATATAACATATCAAACATTAACAGGTCTAGTAAATACATCTGTTTTAAGGCCAACCCTAAATTCTAGGATAGCTTCCCCTGTTTCAATTAAATACCAAGGAAGATATGATAAAATCTGTTTTCCAATGAAGTATTTCTATATCGGCGTACAATATTCTCTGCTCTTAAGAAATTGTTGGAAGAACTTTATTTTCTTTTGGAACCCTTTGAAGAAAATATTCTCTGCCAACAAACTTGGTGGAATGTTTTAAAGATCATAATGTTCACCCATGGTTATTTCTCTTTAACACTGACAGTGTAGCGATCAAGACAATTTGTCCTTTACCATAGATCAGAGGTGTCAAACTGGCGGCCAGTGGACTAAACTGGCCCTTCCCAGCTCTGCAAATGGGGAAAACATCACTAAACATCATGTGATCGCAACGCGACGCCATGAGTTTGACACCCGTACCATAGATAGTATGAACACTTTTACATGGAAGTGAGATAATTATATACATATATCAGGTTGGTGATGATAAATGATTAGCAAAAATACAAAAAAACTATTTTAAATTTATTTCCCTGTATTTTTACTAATCAATTCTGACCAACTAACCCGTTAAATAGACCACCTGGGGAATAAAAATACCACTGATGTTGTGAGCTCTTACCTGTAGCCGAGGCTCAACCTGAGAAGCAAGGAAACAGTCACGTATGACAAGAACCTTTTTCTTCAGAAGAGTCATGTCAGGCCAGTGGTGATGAGCATTTTTAAATTTCTGCACTTCCAGTAGAAAATGCAAACCACTCTCCAGCACAGGTGTGCCATATACCTGGAGGTGTTTAATGAAATGGAGCATCTCCACAGTGGGCCAGCCTTCTGCAGCCTCTTCTAGAGACTGCCAAAAAGAGTCTTTGTCTTCCCTTGTAGGTTTTGCTGTGGCTGCTGATGCATCTTGTGCTTCCCTGTTCCTCATATGTCTAAGAGCTACTTTTCCAGCTATCACATTTAGGAATGGTTCTAGCTTGCACCAGCGTTCTTCTGGAATCTGAGAAGGCACCAGTCCATATTTCTTCAACCCTTCACTCATCTCATCCCAAAACTGCTCAAAAGTAGGAACAACCAGGGAACGTAATAAGATCTGGATTTCATTCCAGGTGACATCAGTAATTTCTCCCTGGGCCACTTCTTCCTTTATTTTTTTCTTCAGTTCTTTGGGGAAGGGGATACTGGATCTCAAAACCCCCAGCTTGTTCCACATATCTAGAAATTTGACTGCACAATTCAGGTGTTTTTCATGTTCTGGGACTTCCCAGCAGGCCTCCGCTTCCTGTAGCAGTCCTAAAACCATCTGAAGCTCTATATTCTGCATTTTACAAGCTGCCTTTTTGTACACATTTAAGATAACTGGGTTGCTAAGAAAATCTGGCACATTATGAGGGGTGGGTGAGTCCTGAAGAACTAGTGATTTTTCTCCACTTCCCTGGTCTGTACTGCTTATGCTGGGAGATTTGGAAATCACCCCTGTCGGAGATTTGGAAACCACCTTCTTTTTACCCCTTTTCCTGTGTAACCCTCTTTCTTTTGAGCCATGAACATAGGTGTTTGGTTTCTGCTTCTTTATCCTGCAGGCAGAATGGCATATAAAGGCAGGCTAGTACACCACTTCTCACAGAATTTCCTCTTACAGAAAGATACAAATATTCAATTAAAATATTGCCACTGAATGAAATAATATTATTGATGTACAAAGAAAATATTCATGTTTAAGAATAAATAATACAAATGCCCTAAATGCAATGACTTAATCTGCAAAATGAATTCTGGCTTCAAAACTTTTAAATGTCACTTATTATTTGGCAAAGGGTAAAACAGCAGCAGAAGGCAAAGGACGAAAAAGAACATGGCTGAGAAACCAGTCTGGGCAGAGAGGCAGAAGCTGGGGTGTATGTAAGCCCTATTCTTTCAACTCCGGAAGTCAAGGTCAAAACCAATTTCATTAGCAGATTCCTTTCCTCCACAACCATGAGCGTTAGAAATTAAAACTCATATGTCAAAACTGGATTAAATTAAATTCTGGATTATGATAATAGTTTCTTGTACTTTAGTTTCTACTTTCTAGGTAGTAATAATTGAGTTATTGCAAAGAACAAACCCCTGAACTTCCAAAACTTGGATCTAATTGCTGACTGTCCACTTCCTTCAACATCTTATTCATACTTTAGAAATTAATTCCAGCAACTGATGTACTTTTGAGGTAACAGTACAGTCTTATGGTCATCTCCATAGAAATCCTCCTGAGTTAAATTACATGTTCAAGTAAGTCTATACAATAAACCATAATATATAAAATCTATTTAAAAACTTTGGTATAATTTGAAGATATGCCACCATATGGGCACCCAGCTACCAAAGTAACCTTTCATTTCCACAAAGCTTTTGAATACCTCCCAATTCTTTCCTGATTGCTTCTATGGTCTTTGCTTTCAGGATTTTGGACATCCAAATGAGATATTGGTACACAGTATCTGTAAGAAAGAAAAAAATAGCTAAGAATATACACTGCTCAAAAAAATAAAGGGAACACTTAAACAACAAAATGTAACTCCAAGTCAATCACACTTCTGTGAAATCAAACTGTCCACTTAGGTAGCAACACTGATTGACAATCAATTTCACATGCTGTTGTGCAAATGGAATAGACAACAGGTGGAAAGCATAGGCAGTTAGCAAGACATCCCCAATAAAGGAGTGGTTCTGCAGGTGGTGACCACAGACCACTTCTCAGTTCCTATGCTCTCTGGCTGATGGTTTGATCACTTTCGAATGCTGGTGGTGCTTTCACTCTAGTGGTAGCCTGAGACGGAGTCTACAACCCACACAAGTGGCTCAGGTAGTGCAGCTCATCCAGGATGGCACATCAATGTGAGCTGCTGTGTCTGTCAGCATAGTGTCCAGAGCATGGAGGTGCTACGAGACAGGCCAGTACATTAGGAGACATGGAGGAGGCTGTAGGAGGGCAACAACCCAGCATCAGGACCGCTACCTCTGCCTTTGTGCAAGGAGGGACAGGAGGAGCACTGCTAAAGCCCTGCAAAATGACCTCCAGCGGGCCACAAATGTGCATGTGGCTGCTCAAACGGTCAGAAACAGACTCCATGGGGGTGGTATGAGGGCCCGACGTCCACAGGTGGGGGTTGTGCTTACAGCCCGACACCGTGCAGGACATTTGCCATTTGCCAGAGAACACCAAGATTGGCAAATTCGCCACCGGCGCTCTGTGCTCTTCACAGATGAAAGCAGGTTCACACTGAGCACATGTGACAGACCTGACAGGGTCTGGAGACGCCGTGGAGAATGTTCTGCAGCCTGCAACATCCTCCAGCATGACTAATTTGGCAGTGGGTCAGTAATGGTGTGGGGTGGCATTACTTTAGGAGGCCGCACAGCACTCCATGTGCTTGACAGATGTACTAGCCTGACTGCCATTAGGTACCAAGATGAGATCCTCAGACCCCTTGTGAGACCCTATGCTGGTGCGGTTGGCCCTGGGTTCCTCCTAATGCAAGACTATGCTAGACCTCATGTGGCTGGAGTGTATCAGCAGTTCCTGCAAGACGAAGGCATTGATGCTATGGACTGGCCCGCCTGTTCCCCAGGCCTGAATCCAATTGAGCACATCTGGGACATCATGTCTCGCTCCATCCACCAACGCCACATTGCACCACAGACTGTCCAGGAGTTGGGGGATGCTTTAGTCCAGGTGTGGGAGGAAATCCCTCAGGAGACCACCCGCCACCTCACCAGGAGCATGCCCAGGTGTTGTAGGGAGGTCATACAGGCACGTGGAGGCCACACACACTACTGAGCCTCATTTTGACTTCTTTTAAGGACATTACATCAAAGTTGGATCAGCCTGTAGTGTTTTTTTTTTTCATTTTAATTTTGAGTGTAACTCCAAATCCAGACCTCCATGGGTTGCTAAATTTGATTTCCATTGATAATTTTTGTGTGATTTTGTTGTCAGCACATTCAACTATGTAATGAACAAAGTATTTAATAAGAATATTTCATTCATTCAGATCTAGGATGTCTTATTTTTGTGTTCCCTTTATTTTTTTAAGCAGTGTATTTAAGTTATTATTGGAGTGTCCACAAATTATTTGTAATGAGTTTTCTTTACATGTCTCATGTAATTTGTTCGATTAAAGAACTCTTAAAATCTCCATTAACATAGCAAAAACAACATTTGGACTTGGCCATTGTCTACACAATGTTACATAAAGACTCAATTTATAATGTTGCAGGTGCATAATCTTTGAAATTTCTACCATCAGAAAATACATACAATTTTCAGAAAATTCAGAATAGGACATCTTGGCACTCACTCAAGGAAAGTTGTGACTTCATGGCGAACGTAATGGAGCCATGCCTCACCCAGAATAGGCAGCACATATTGAATCATGGGTTGAAAAGCAGAAAATGTCAAGTCTCCACTGCCAGTGGAAAGTATTCTCTCAAGATGCTGGGTGTAGTCTAGCATACTAGAACTAAGCTCTGTAGAGAAAGGAGAATCAGAGCACAGGATGATTCCACCTTCAAAAGGATTTGTTCATAGGCCAAATGCCCACAAATATTTAGTAAATGAATAAATCTGATTAAAGGCTGAAAATAAAAAAGGGAGCAAAATGTTTGTTATTAAATAGGACACCAATGTCTATAGTATGGTTCACACTATAGCAGTTTACCCAGTAGGCTTTAATGCTGTTTCCAAACACTAAACAATCTATTTAATCAGTGGGACAGAATTAAGGTTACCAAGAATAACAGTCGATTACCGTAGAACTAATATCAGTCCCTACTGCCAAGATATCCTGTAACTAACCCTACAGAAAAATCCTTCCAACAATGGATTATATCTCTTACTTTCTCCAATCATAAAACACACACTATCACTGAAACTCATTTTTTTATTCTAATCTACTGTAGGAACCACATGTTTAAGTCAACGTTGCCTATCTATCTGTTTCTCTTTCTGTCTCAACTTCAAAAATACTAGATGACATGGCATTAAGAACACAGATTTCACATTCTAAAGACATCTGCCCCCATATTCAAGCAGCTACATTCTGGGTTGTGATTCTTTCCAGGTTGGTTGGCTTTTTTGCAATGAGGGGCTGATTTGATTAAATCAGATTCTTTCATACTTGCACTTTAAACATAGCTCACCTGAATTGCATTCCGTATAAGTGGCGAGAAACATATGAAAAATCTGCCAGGCTATATTTTGTACTTCAGATGGGCTTGCTTGGTTCTCCTGGGCATTTTCATAACATTTTAGCTTCTTCCACAGCCACAAATGATTAATCTTTTGTGGATCTTCAAACCTGGGTAGGTAACATAAAATATATCTACTTCAGCATAAGGTGAACTGTAGGACTTCTGCCTAAACAAAAAAGGTGTGTAAAAGCCAGCTGATCAGCATAAGCATCATGCTTTCCTCAGAGGATTTTCCCAATAAAATATCCACCTCTGGGTTGTAAATAAAGCATAATGAAATATGGGACACTGAAAGCAGCTGGGAAACTCACCGAGTCAAGTAGTGAAGGAAACCATCCCCATCTCCCAGATCGCACATCAATGCCTCAAGAAACTGGATGGTTGTCAGGGTTTCAAAGGAGTCATTAAGGGACCTCAACGTTCGGTTTGACCCAGTTCCTTTTCTGCTTTTCCTAAATGATGAAACCAGAACTGAATTTTCAGGAAGTTTCTGGTACAGAGGACACAAGATCAGAACTGCATCCAGAGTTTCCTAAACTATTCTAAAACCTGTTTTTTTAAAGAGTAAAGCAGAATTACCAGTCTGGTTCGTCAAAACCAAAAAGTTTGCTGTCATTCCTCAATAGAAGCAACCTTGATCCTCTAGCGCAGGGCTGTCAAACTTGTGGCCCACGGGCCCGTATCACACACCATCTATGCCCACCCCTAGTTTAGCAAAGGGAGGGGGAAGTCATGATGTGTCACGTGACAGCACCATGACAACGCGAATTTGACACTCTTGCTTGAGCAGGTGTGTCCAATCTTGACAACTTTAAAGATTTGTGGACTTCAACTCCCAGAACTCCCCAGCCAGCACAGGACTTGAATTCTGCAAGAATTAAAGTTGCCAAGGATAGATACCCCTGCTCTAGAGTCTTTCTTTCTTGGTTTATTTCTACACTCTTTCCTCCGGGAGAAATGGTTGACAAGAAACAGCTACAAGTGAAACTATCATGCCACTGTCAAACTTTAGGGAAACATAAATTTTCTTGACAGCTGCCACAGCATTGTAAAATAAATTTAAACAGTGTTTATAAAGCCTCCTCTCTGCATTTCTACTAACAATTGGAGAGGACAGAGCAGGCTCTTCATTTGTCAGTTACCGAATACTGTTAAGTTTTTCTGCCAAGAATTTAGCCATTGTGATATTATTTTCATTTTCACTGAGCATTATTATGTATTCATTAGATTTACATTCCAAATTTGCCCAAAGCAGCATAGATAGCACTTCTCCCTCTGTGTTTTGGGGTTGTTTTTTTGCACAGCATCAGCTTTGTGAGGCAGGCTTCGCTAAGAAATAATAATCAGTGCAAAATTAGCAAGTGAACTTCGTCAGGGAAGGATGCTTAAGGATAAACTGCATCATTTTACAACAAAAGCTTTGTAATGTGCACATCCCCACCGCCAAATCATTTTAATAAACACGCAAATATAGACACTAACTACAGATTCTGAGCAGTTAAGGGCAATTAGTTGATTATTTCTTTTAGCATAGCATTTAGACTTATATACTGCCCCATGGTGCTTTACAGCCTTTTCAGGGCATTTTACAATAGCATTTATATACCACTTCACAGTGCTTTACAGCCCTTTCTAAGTGGTTTACAGAGTCAGCATATTTCCCCCAACAATCTGGGTCCTCATTTTACTAACCTCGGAAGGATGGAAATCTGAGTCAACTTAGAGCTGGTGATAATCGAACTGCCAATCTGCTATTAGCTGGCAGTCAGCAGAAGTAGCCTGCAGTACTGCGTTCTAACCACTGTGCCACCATGGCTCTAATTTAAATTTAATACACAATAATATAATAAATTAATTGATTAAGCTTCAAGAGGAAGAAAGCCATTAGGATGCATGATTACAATAAAATAACTATCAGTATCAAAAATAAAACAAAATAGCAATTCTGCTTTATGGACGGGTGCTCACATCATTTTCCAGTCTTTGTTTCTTTTCATTTGGTTCACCATGTCCTTTTGGTCACCCACAGCAGGAAGCGTCGGCAAAGAAAATGGGAAACCGCCACTCCAGGAAAGCTCCTCTTCAATAGGCACCTCTGAACAGGGTTCAAACCTGTAAAAGTACTAAATTGAACTGACAAGGTATTTCAGATAAAATTGACACTTATAATTTTGGTTGAATGAAGAAAATCAAGTGAGGTGGTGGATCTTTACTAAATTCCACCACAGAGTAAGCAAGAACAAAACACGGGACCAACTGTGTATTATACAGTCAATGATTTAAGGCCATTTTAAAATGTTATACTTAGGACATAACAATATTATTTATCTGTGCCTATCGCCCAACTCCAAAAGCACAGTGATCCCTCCAAGCACAAACCTGAACTGCCTGATTCTCTGATAGTGAATTAGAAATCGGGGAACCCAGTAAGAACGCAATCGTCTTAAGGCATCATATTGTTTCCTGCTCAAGGAAGCAAAAGCTGTCTCCTCTTCCCCTACACTTTCCTCAAGCTGTTCCTGGAGACAAAGAGAAAACATATAGTATGCATACAATAGAATCTAAGTTCCACTTTTTACACACAGACACACATACAGAGTTGTGATTGCTGTCACTTTTGAAATTACTGCAGTAAAACATCCTGCACATACGACTTTGTAAAAAGAAGAATCCAGAACAATCTGGATGGACCCTCACCTATTTAAAAAATAAGCCTAATCTACTATTACAGTACAACATGCGATTAATATTTATCTTCTTAAATATGCCAGATTAAAAAGAAAATGAAAACAGTAGCTACACCTTGTTAACTATCTTCTAAACACTCTATTAAATTGATTCCCACTGTAATCCTTTAATTGTCAGTTTCATAAAGTGAAAAGCAAGTCCTCTGATATCCATATAGCAAAGTACTAGGATGGAAGACGTTCCCAAGAAACTTAGGCAATAGAAGGATTTCATGATTATTCTGATTCATGGAGAAAATCTCCCAGGACGGAACCTACAATTCAATTATGCAAGACATTTCTGCACAGGAAGGCTGCAGAAGGTAAAGAACAAACCCCTGAGCTCTGCTTTCTTAGCTGGCTTAGCTAGATTTCTGATTACCTAAGCTAAAACCTGGACAAAAGGACTTGCATTCCAGCTGTATTACTCACTTGAAAAGCAGGAGGGACGGCCAGCCTATACTTGGCTTGAATATCCCTGCCAAAAGAAGAGGGGCAGTATAAACTCCACTTGCACTGGAATATTCCCCTGCTTGCTACTGTATAAAAATATATCTATATCTATATATATATATATATTTAAAGAGGATGGGTACTATTTAATACATGATACTAGCACTGCACATTACATTCTGATATATAGCACAGCCTGTAAGATTATTCCCTCTACTCTTAAAAGAAGGTAAGAATCTGCCACAACCTCACATCCCACAAGTTCTGTAGTTGTCATGAAGTTAGTGCACCTCACCCTCCACCATTTCCTCCAAATTATTTGTTCCTATATTTCAGGCTTCTCAAATATCCCAAGGAATAAAAGAAACAAGCTGTATGTTTTGTATTATATATATAAAGGTGAGCTCCAGATTATGCAGATTGTGGCTATCCTCTTCTTAGAAGCTCAAACCAATAGAACCCGAGATAAGGAATAATATTTCTTCTCTTTGTGCCTTCTCGCTGTCTCACAACAACCAGGAGCTGCAGCAAGGCCAGAATGGAGTAATAGAGTAATGGTCGAGGCATTAATTGATACTCATAGTGCTGGCCTCTGTGTAGAAACTAGAACAAGTGCTTATAAAAACCTATGGTTCTTCTTTTTAGTCAATTAATTAGTTTTATCATGATAAAAGTAATCCCTGAGGAGAACTGAGAAGGATGTCTTAGAGTAGAATAGAGTTGGAAGGGACCTTGGAGGTCTTCTAGTCCAGCCCCCTGTTCAAGCAGGAGAACCTATACTATCTCAGATAAGTGACTGTCTAGTCTCTTCTTAAAAACCTCCAGTGATGGATGGAGCACCCACAAGCTGAAGGCAGGCTGTTCCATTGGTTAATTGTTCTCACTTTTAGGAAGTTTTTCCTTAATTCTAGGTGGCTTCTCTCTTTGATTAATTTCCAGCCATTGTTTCTTGTCCTGCCCGCTGGTACTTTGTAGAATAATTTGACTCCTTTTTCTTTGTGGCAGCCCCTCAAATACTGGAATACTGTTATCACGTCACCCCTAATGCTTCTTTTCCTTAGACTAGCCAAATCCAGATCCTGCA